TGTGTGTGTGTGTGTATTTCAATGCTGATTGACAGCAGACCTCAGAAGATGAAGGCAATGTGGTCACAAGCACTGATCTGCTACAGGGTGACCGCTTCTGCAATAACTTCCCACTTTCCCGACTAAACTTTCACTGACATCTACAACCGCATCCAGTGTCTCTTTGCATCCCACAACCCCTTCCCATGGATGTCCAGAACCCCTTGCTGTTGTTCTACTGCAGACTCACACCTAACTGACCTCCTGTCCCACCCCTCAAGGTTAGATTTGCCTCTCAAAATCTGTTGCAGACAAGTGACCTAGAGATAAATTCTGTTTTTTATCATACATAAACAGTTGGAAATCAGCCCAATCACTCAAGTGTCATGGGTGTAAATTCCACTAACTTCTTCCCCCAGCTAAATGCATTAATTGTTGCATGTACACACTAATAATCACTCAATCAAAATTATATAGCACCAATGCAATACTGTGTTAACTTTACCCAGTACCCATGGATAGAAAACCACCCAAGACAATGTGTTGTTTTAACTTAGTGTAAATGTTTTTTATATTACTGTTAATAATAATGTGTATCCTTTGCAGTGTTGTACACTTAACACATTTGTGACAGTTTTCAAGCTTAAAGAGAAACTTTGCTGATTTTCAACCAGCTTTGTATCATTACGATGTGGGTAGTATATGCAAATGAAAAATGTTTAACTTCTCTCCATGTTGCCTGCACCCAGAGCTTCCCCTTCATTTTCTGGCGAAAGTCCACCTGACTCTCCATGGCTCTAGGGCTGTTGTTCGAACTACAGATTGTACTTATGCTTTTTTTGTATCCTAGCCTCCACGGACAAAATAGGAAAAAGACTTCTTCTGGCAAATGCATGAGAAGCTGTAGGTGCAGGCAACATGGAAAGAAGGTAAACATTGTTCATTTGCATACACTACCCACGTTATAATGACACAAAGCTGGTTGAAAAAAGTTTACCTTTAAGCTTGTTGTGTCTAACACTGGGTCAAAACTACCCATTGGTACAGGTATTGCATCGGTGCCATGTTGACCCAAACTGGGTCAATTTTGACTCAGTATTTTTAGTGTGATAGTGATGTGATTTCCCCCCCAATATCTCAGTAGTCCTGACGCTGGTAGCCACCGGTGCCATCAAAGGCCCCTTCGCTGTTGGGCTGGCCCCCTCCTCCTCCTCCTGGGCTCTCGAGGTCATCCCCACTGAAGGAGGTGTAAGGGGCTCCGGCTGCGTCTTGGCTGGGATCCGTGTATTCCTGGGAGAAGAGGGCTGAATCGGCCCCAAGCTTGTACCTCTGGAAGGCCAGGAAGGACTGGCCCGCCTTGGGGAGTGAGGGATTGCAGATGGAAGACGACAGGGAGGCGAAGAGGATAAACAGATGGGTGAAAGGTGGAGAAATGGATAGAATGGGAAGCAGAGATGCAGTGGTGTTAGAGCAGATGTTTTGGGAGAAGAGAGAGAACAAAGAGAGAAAAGGAAACATTGATTAGTTGGCTTGGAAAGCTTGTGAAGCTTATTAGATACGATGAGAGAATCATTTAGTCAGTCAGAGCACGTTAGTTCTATAGGCAGTAGTGCAAAAAGACTATTTATCCATTGTTGAGCTCCATAATGAGAAACACCACCTTAGCACCACTCCAGTCCACAGTGGGATAGGGACCAAGCAATTAAACTGTAACTGCGTGCATTATGCAGCTGAAGCCATGCACTATAAAATACCACAAATCTCATTTTTGTTGATAATTAGAGATGTTTCAAGGTAACAGTGGGCAAAAGCCAAAGACATCATGAGCACACAAACACACTCAGAGAGAAAAGAGAAAACCACAGAGAGCTGAGCTGATTCAAGCTCTCAGTGATGGGAACTTTCACAAGGGTTTTATTTACTTGTGTGTCTTGGCTCAATCAGATGTTGCAGACAGATCAAATCTGTCGGTTTGGTGTCTTTCAGTCTGATACACCACTCTCCATCAAATATTTTATTGGGTTGGTTGATTGCAGAAAACAAGTCAATACATTTTGAGAGAAACTGTTGTTATTATTCTTGTTTGAGAAAATAATAACACAATTTACTGACTGAATATTTCAGATTTTTTTGTGTTAATATGGATGTGGAACATTTAAATTTAGTATACATGTAATAAAAATGTATTTATGACCCAATAACATGCACAGTTACAAGCCATAAAAATCATATGAATATGCTATAAAACAGTTTGATACTTCAATTAAATTGTCTTAAAACTGTCTGCTTAAACTGCGAAGCCGATCTCAAAAAGCCATAAAAAAGAACAACTAATCTAGCTACTAAACGTAATAAAATAGTTATGAAGATTGGAAAGCATGGACGTGCATAGAGTTACAGAAAAACACAAAACTGGAGAAATCAAAGGAATAGTTTGACATTCTGGGAAATACACAGAAGATTGATACTAATTTAGTGTCTGCCAATATGAGGCTGGTGCCAGCAGCTGGTTGAAGTCCTGTCACTACGGGATGTAACTGATCGTGGCCAAGAAACTGTCCGGCACATATCCCCCCACAACACTCCAAAATGTTGTCTTTACTTTGCATAAATTGAACAAATAAGATATAATTTGTTAACAAGAGAGCTTCAGAGGTGCTGGTAGATGGATTTTGTTGACTCCAGACAGAGACAGCCGAGCTGTCTAACCCTGTTTTCAGTCTTTATGCTAAACTAAGATAACCAGCTACCGGCTCAAGCTTCATATTATAGTGGTATAAGTCATCTCAGCTATGTAGAGGCCAGAAACTATTCCTTTAAGGCAATTAAAAACCAGTTTTAAGTGATGCAAATTTATAAAAACTCATTACAATGATCGGATGAATCAAGTTTTAAACAGCTGTTTCATATAAAACTTAATAATTCCAACCCCTACAGTGAAAAGACAAAGCACAAATCACTCTGTAAACCTTCAGGTTAATGATGAGAGGAAGTGGTGGCCTGCTCTGTAAATTGAGACTGCACTTGTTTAAATGCTCCAGGTTTGGTAGCTGAGAAGAGTGTGTGTGTGCCGGTCATACACCTACCCACCTCAGCAACACACTGCTGACCTGCCTGCTTTGACTTAAGTAAAAACTGGCCAAAACAGAAAGCACATGGCAGATGGAGAACAAAAAAGTTTTTGTGGTCAACATCTTAAAACTGAATAACCAAATATACCAAAAGATACATTCAGTATGCAGGCTTTTCTTTATCTTTTGACTCCTTGTTCTATCAAAATTTTAAAAAGACATCTACATGAATATGTAACATTAGTTTTTGGTTAGGAGCATTTTAAAATTCCAGCAAGCTGGGAGCTTTCATACCAAAACGGATTACAGCAATCTAAGTAGGTGTTTAAGGCCAGAAATCTCAGCATTTGGCGATGTAACTGTTGAGTCATGCCTATTGATCAACAACTGAATCAACCTACCTGCACATACATTATCATTATAATGTCCTTGAGTCAGGAAGTAAGTTATCTAACTATGATAGGCAAAAACATTAAGCAATATCCTACTGCCAACAATGATGGTACAACTGTTCTTATACGCTTACTTCCAGCACTATTTCATGTTACGGGGCACACTTAAACAAGTGCAGCCACAGTAGTAAGTAACAGGAGTGTGTAGAACCAGCTGTGGATGGTTAGGGCAGCACGGGGAGAAGACAAAGCAGAGTCAGACAAAAGGCTGATTGGGCTGAGGGGGAAACAGCTTGGTGTATTCCTCTTCAAACGACACATTCTTTAATTTCTCCATAGAGAAGAGAGTCTGAGCACCCTGTTGGAACAACATCCACACATTTATGAGTACACATGTACACATACGAATTAAAAGGTTCACACACATCCAAGCACTAACCAGAAAAAAGAAGGAGGAACAGTAGTCAAGGCATAAACATTTTCAATAGCTAATTGGAAAGCAAAGTAGGAGTTGAAAGGTGATCCACAATCTTAAGTATTCAGTTCCTTCTTAGGCCATCTATAGCACTAGCCATTGCCACCTAATGGCAGGTATTATATCATGTTGTGTTATACTGTTAGTTATACAGGGAGGTGTGGAGGCACTTACCCAGGTGAAGATGGAGAAGAAGGAGAAGGTAATGGCTGCCCGGGCAGCGTCCCCTCCCTCCCTCAGTGGATTGTCCTCATGCTTGGTCACCTGCCACTGGTTTGCCAAGAAGCAGAAACCCACAAACCACATGAAGGACCAGAACGCTGGAAAGAGAGACAGGCACAGAGACAAGTGTTAAGATAATGATATAACTGTAACAAGATACCACCTGAGAGAACATTTTTTCTTGACCTTCTTTTGGAAAGTTAAATACATCTAATAAAGAAGCTATGAAAGCATGTGTAGCTCTGTTCAGATTATGACTGGATTAAAGACCAAATTATTTTAGAGATGTTTCTAACTGAATATAACTGGTAAAAGAATACTTTGACTTCTTGGCAAAAATGCTTATTTGTTTGCATCTTAATCGAGGGTTACAGAATAGAAGGTGCTGTACATTGTAAAGATTGTAAAGCTTTCTTGGACTGAATACAATACTTGACACTTTCACAGGAAAGGATGACCAAGAAAGCTAAACTGTTATAGCTTGAGGTCAAAAGAGGAAATTGAATTGTATATTATCAACATAACAATGAAGAAGGCTGTGCAGACAGCTGTGGATCAGTTGAAAATGACAACAAACCAAAGATGGACCCCTGTGGAACGCCTCACGTAAAATGAGAAAAGAAAAGCAGAAATTACCCCCAAAAACCAGACACGGTTCCATCCTGCTGACCAGTTGTTTGTTATAACTATACATGAATAATAAGGGGATTTAAACATCATCCCATCACATCTACTGCAGTTGGAAGTGTGGCAGTGGGGGGGAGAAGATCAGAAACATCCAGGTCCAATCAGGACACTTGTACCAGATGTTCCCTTGTTTCAGTACGGTAAATCATTTACAACACAGAGATAGTGGGAGAGAAAGAAGGAGACAGAAAGTGTATGAGTGATGAAAATAGGGAGGGAGAATCTTGTATGTGACAGGAACGGCCTCATTAACTGACTCATCACTTGACTATCTTGTCATCATGTCTGAGTTCACTGCAGTAGCAGTGCAGCAGAGGAGTGGAGGAAGCCACTGGCTGAGACACCAAAGCACAATGTCTCAGAGGCTTGTTAGCGCCAGAAGAGTACTCCTCTCCTCATTATCCCTCTCACACCTTCTCTTCTTTTGTTGTGATGATAACCATGTAATCTTTTTAGGCCACAGACTCAAAAGAGTGCTAATTTTCTCTGATGGTGGGGTATTTGCAGGCCTTTGATCTGTCTAGGAAAAAGGGAATGTTCTTCCTTTTAAACTGATATAACTTACCTGCAAGAAAAGCACCTTGACCCCCTACCCTAATGCATTACTGTATGGTAGCACACAACTAGTGTGAAAGAGTACAGATGTATGCTTTGATAAGAGGGCAATGCTGATACAGCATTTAAAATTAACTTTGCTGTTCATAAACTCCACCAAAACCAAATTTTCTCACACATTATCCTTCTATCCATCCATTACCATTGTGTCAAATGACTGCAATATTAAAAGGGTTGCTCACAGTGCAGTGCAAGGAGTGCTATGCAGCTTTTAGCCTATTTTAGTCTCTTTCTTATCTGCTGAATTTGCTGAAATGTGTGCTATAACAACCTTAATAAACTAATTTAATAACTAGCTTCCATAAAATTTAAAATCCTTGGGTCATTGACCTGATCTTGGCATGTCTTTGGGTGGTGCTGAAAGCTAGAAAACTGCATTGGTGGGACATGGCTATGTTATTGCCTTGTAGTTATTTATTTTATTATTCCATTAGCTTCTAAGTGTTATTGCTTTACAAGCTGCTCGTCGCTTTATGAATCTTTCTTGAAAGGGCTATTTCACTTGAAATAATTTGTCCCAAGTTAATTTGTATCAATTCTAATGTCTTTATACCCATGTTCATGCATCTGTCTCTGTGTTCATGTAATTACAACATGCAGTTCAACATTGCGTTTTACTCTTAAGAAGCTTCACTCTTCCATAGAGAGTATGTTGGAAGTGCATTTAGCAAGAAAACATATTACAAATATGTTGGTTAAAAAAGATTTTATCTAAACCGGGATAATCTAATGAATCTTTACCTGACCTGAAAAAATCAGATGGCTTTTCTTTTAGTGTGGTACTTGGCAGAGGTTTACGTGGTTATTATAATACAGCCCACTCTGTATTTGTATAGGCTTACTCAGTGATAAATGCCTAATCTCATTTAATCTTTAAATGTCTGAAAAAATAGTCGACACATAATGAGTGTTAAAAATACAAAGGAAAAAAAGGCGCTTAACAAAAACGATCCACTATGTTGTATTTTTATTAGACATAAGGTAGGTGTGTGTGTATAGCTAATGGGTTTACCTGACAACCCGATGTCAGCCAGCACTGCCTTCTTACGGTCTTTGACGCTGCTTATCTGGGGAAAGTAGACATCCAGAGCCAGGAAGGCCATGCAGCAGAGAAACGCCATGGAGCCCATAACTACGCCATAATTGCAGGCATTCTGGTTGCGGTTGAAGATGCAATACTCCTCCACTTCATTGGGGCGGTTGATGTAGCCCTCGTTGGCAATGCAGCCGAAGATCACGATGGAGAAAAGCTGCAGAGGAGAAAAGAAGAAGGGATGGGACTGTGAGAGAAGAAATAAGGCAGCCCTTTGGGGCACATGGTGCGTTCAGAAGCTTTGGATAAAAGAGCCTTAATAAACAGGATACAAGTTGAAAACATTTTGTGGGAGAGACGTTTTTCGTTCTTTTTACTGTGAAAGGCAACACGGAGGCTGACTGTGGCGCACCAAAAGACCCATGTCTAACATTTTTAAGCCCAGCGGTGTCTTCACACACATCTACACCTACTTCCTAGAATCTGCACTCCAGAAAAGCAGCACTTTTATCACAGTATGTCCCCAAATCAGCACAAACTAGTTACTGCACTTTAACTCCTTCTTCTATCTGTCCTGTCTTCTATCTGTGCCACATATGTCAAATGACACAATGCTACACAACACACCCCTTGTACTGTCCCCAAAGATGTGGGGACATTCATTACTCTTCATTCATCCTATTAAAAAGCTTTCTTACTGTTTTGTAGGCTTTACTACGGTTGTCTTTTGTACTGTTTTGTCTGTGGTAGGAGTCTACTTGCTATAATCCTGTTATTTTTTCATGAATCTGTATATACTAAGAGAATCAACAATTGTTTTTTAATTCCCTTATGTGAACTCTCTGTTCAGTATTGTATTTGTATACCATGAACTCAGCCTTTTCTCCACTTGCATTTTTTATAATAATTCATAAAAGCCCCCCAAAGAATACCACCTGCTGTAGTCAGACGGTATATTCTTCAGCGTGACGCTCTCAGCCCATAATGTCACGACAACCCTGCAGGGGAGTTTTATGAATAATCCCTCGTGTCTTTCACAAACAGGTTTTCCCAAATGTGCCTCTGGGTTTTCTTTTCAAATATGGAGTTTGACTGCAGAAAAATTAGCCTTTCTCCGCTATTCTGAAATTTAGTATGACAGCTACTGAACACACACTGAAATGATTAATACATTTATAATGCTTAGCAAAGATGTTATGTGAATGACGATATAGAGGATTCAGAAAATAATCATACATTAGATATTCTGTTAAAATTGTGTGAAAATAGGATTTAATCATCATTTACAAATCCCTCCACCTTTTAATTTTGTGCTTTCAACAATTCATGTTTCAACCTTTTTCTACACCGAAGGCCTCAAAGTGGACCAGGGCACTGCTGACCTCTACCATATTTAGTGTCATATAATAGTCCAAACGAATAAAAGGCTACAGTGAGTTAGCTTAGCATAGCATAAAGACAGGAAATGGGGAAACAGCTAGTGTAAAATGTTCTTTCAGTTCTCGTCAGTACTACCAAACAAGATTTAGCATGCTAATTATTAATCATTTTTAAAAAAAAATCAAAATGTTGAAGTTTCTTTAAATCCTGCATCTGATGCTGGATTCAGATTATTTCTGTCTGTGGGGAAAAAGATATAGGTGTATCTCTTATGAGAAACAATTTACCTGAACCTAAACACCCGGACAAGCTTTGAGTTAAGTTAACTAACTTGTAACCACTGAATTTAAAAAAAAATTCTGGTCACTTGGGGGCATATCTCTGAGATGCCATCACTTTTAACTTTATATTGCAAACTCATTAACAAAAAGTGTAGTTTTTAGAAATTTCTCAAAAAACAACAACCATCAAAAACAGACTGACATGCTTTCTCATAAATATCCTGCACCAATACAGGGACTTTATATAAACCTAAATGTGTACTTATGCTGTCTGCCTGCACATGCTAAAAGTAACTCAAGACACGTTGCTCCACACTGCACTTGTATAAGCATGGAAAAATATGTTTTTCAAAGACTGTTCAATATTGTGTATTGTTTTAACAAAAAAATATAATACAAAAATCTATAATTTCTCGTCTTTAATTGAGCTGGTGGATTACACGGTGTCACCTTGTGACTCTTGGCTGTATTAAAACCCTCTTAAACCAAATGCTTAATTAAAAAGATGCATGGTGGCAAGTTAAAAATCTAATATTGATTTCTTTAATTGTAAGAACGTGCTGGAGAGGTTTTATCCTGACAGGGTTGGTCAGTCTAAGGTGGAGGAAGAACGAGGACAGCGACAAAATGGAGTCAACTGTATTGTAGGTAGAGTTTACTATGATAGCATCTAATCCCTCGCCTATTTACGCTCCTCTGCATTCCTCTCCTTTCATCCTCGCTCCCATGTCCTTTCTTGTATTTTCTTCTCCTCTCCTGTCTGCCTTTGCCTCGAGGAGAGGAGATGCAAAGGGCTACAAAATGGAGTCAATAACAGGAGCAGGTTACTAAGATACCATCTAATCCCTCTTTTCTCTCCTCTCCTCCTCCAATCAGTACAGCGTTACTGAAACACCCTTTCCGAGGCCATACATATGAGACCACACATACATAACACCCACAGTGTTAGTATTCCACCCTGCAGTGCAGTGTAGCAGTCTACTTTGTACTTCAGTTGATAACAGGAGATCAGACAACTCCATCCAACTGACAAACCCTCAGACCAAACCACCAGGGAGCTAGTTCTGTCTGGATAAGACCGACATTGACTGTGTTTATGTTTGTCTGCAGTCTGTGTGAGGATTTTGCTGTGGTGAGTGATGGATTCTGAATGTGTGTGTGTGTGTGATTGAGAGAGTAAAAGAGAGACAGAAAGCTAGAAGTGAACCTTGGGTTAGTGAGGTGCTTGGACAGTTTACCCAGCTGTTGTGTCTCTGTTTATGTGACAAATGACAGCGATACAAAGGGAGAACACACAATAGACTGTACATCCACTGACAGCCCAGACCAATGAAGGCCAACAACCAGGCAGGGAGGAAACAGGGATGTCAGTCACAATGGGGATTACAGCAGTTTTTTTTTCTCTTACCTTACCTTTCCTTTTTTATCTGCTTTCAAGCCCTTCTTTCCACTGTCTGCTCCACACTTGGGATACAACATTTTTGCTGCTAACTCCGAGTATTGAACTTCTGAAATGCCAGCCGAAGCACAAAATGAGTCTGTTAAATTTACTTGACTTCATTATTTCAAGACTGATACTTCTGAGGTACAATCCATTTCACATGTGAGGAGAAAAAGTAAAGAGAGAAAGTAAGAAAATAGAGTCACCTTGCTTTGATATTGTTTGATATTATTATCATCCTTTGAGGGAAATCCCCATTTTCCATGCCTTCCTTTATACCAGTGCCGGCCCAGCTATGCGTCTTAGGCCTGATATCACCTGAATAAAGGGATTGTTGTGTTTTTGTTACCTTAGAATGAGCCGTTTTTATCTACAGCCACGGGTCACCAGTCCGCCATGTTGAACCACCATGTTCCTACAGTATCCCAGAAAGGACCAACCAAACAATGGCTGCAGGGCCTTTCGCATGGTGTTGGTGTTCAATTAGTTGCAATCTGCTAGATGACGCTAAATCCTACACACTGGTCCTTTAAGACTTGTTTATATCAGAACAGAGAAATTAATCCTGATGTGTATTTTCCTTCTCATTAAGTATGAGCTGAAAAAATAATTGTCATAGATTGCCATGAAATTTCATACTCACACTGATATCCCCCCTCCCCTTAGTGATCCCCTGACTCTTTCATTTAGTGCAGAAGAATATTCAATTTGGCCATATGTCACTTTGGTTTATACTAAATACCTGCAAAGCGAATGACATTCCCATCAGCCTAGGCTATACTGTGTAATTAGTAATTGTCAGAATGCTAATATGCTAAACAAGGTAAACAATGTACTTGCTAAATAACAGATTAGCAGATTAGCTAGCTCAGTTTTCATTAGCATTTAGAACACCCTCACAGAGTTGCAAGTATGGCTGTTGACTATTACTGTTGTTTGTTGTTGTTTGTAAGTGTTGTTTGAACATGGCCTAGACTGCCTGTTCATATTTAATTCAAGTCACCCATGAAGTCACATAGACCTCAAGAAGAACGTTTTATTGAAACACAGTATTTAAGAAGAATGAGTGACCTTTCACATCAAAGCATTGAGGTTATGTATCGCCATGCAAAAAAACTGCTACCGTAGCAGGTTTTTGCCACTTAAATGTTTGGCTTGAGACTGAGGCTTGTTAGCCTTCATAGTTGAAATGTTTTTCTAAAAGCAATCAGCAATTTGTAGCTCTCTCGTGCAATTCCAGGCAGTTTTTTGTTCAAACGTAGGGACACAGCATGCATCGTACAGTCAGTTTTGACAGCCGTCCATCTTACCAGATGAAGTAATGCCTGAGTCACTGGTATTATTGAGCAATAACAAAAGTGACTCAATATATTACATATGGTAATAAACAGCCATTTCTGCTACTAAGCTGTACCACTAATTCCCACTTTAAAGAGAAACTGAGAGGACATCTTTAGCTGGCATTTGGAGTCCGTGACTTGATGTCAAACTAGAACAGTTTGTTAGCAAGCACGCAGAACCTTTCTGTTTCCCTCGCCCTCCCTCCGTCCCCTTTCTCCGGTCCGTCTTTAGACTCATGCACTCCTCTCTCCATGGAACAAAGGATGTGTGGAGGAGGATAGTAACACCTCAATCCCCCCTCCATCCACTTGCAGGCTTTTTCATTAAAGAGAGAGATGATGAAGAGATGGAGGAAAGAGATGGAAGGATTGCGGAGGGGGACGAGCGGCGGCGTTGGGGGCAGAAGGGGTATGGAGGCGGTGCTATTTTTAGATTGGCTGCATCATCGCTCACTCCCTCCCTTTTTGTCTTCTCCCATCTCCCCTCGTTACCGGCCCTGCCTCTGCCCACGAGCATTCTTGAGAAAAATGAGTGCGCTCTGACACGCACACACCAACACACAACCATATACAGCTCAAACACACACTGTTTGTCCGCCGCTTCACATGCCTGGCTTTCTTTAAGATTTAGGTCACACACACACACACACACACAGCCAATCACATGATGTTGGTATAGAATGTCAGAATGCTCTGTTTAGAATAATCACACAATGAACCAATGCTATACACTGAGAAGAAAAGTGGTCTGTGTGTACATTTTACTTGCTTAAAT